AAAAACGTAAAGACCAACAATAAAACTTTCTTCAAATACATTAGAAGCAGGAAACCAGCCAGGGAGGCAGTGGGGCCCTTGGATGACCAAGGGTAAAAGGAGTACTGAAGGATTATAGGGAAATGGCTGAGAAGCTGAATACATTTTTTTCCTGTCTTCACTGTGGAAGATGAGAAGTGCTTGCCCACTCCAGAACCACTGATTTTGTAAGGGGTGTTGAAAGACCTGAGTCAGATTGAGGTGACGAGACAGGAGATCCTATGACTGAGAGACAACTTAAAAACTGATAAATCACCAGGCCCGGATGGCATACATCCAAGAGTTCTGAAAGAACTCAAATGTGAACTTGTGGATCTCCTTACAAAAATATTTAATCTTTCATTAAAATCTGCCTCCATTCCTGAGGACTGGAAGGTAGCTAAAGTCACTCCCATCTTTAAAAAGGGTTCCAGAGGAGATCTGGGAAATTACAGGCCAGTCAGTCTGACATCGATACCTGGTAAGTTGGTGGAAACTGTTATTAAGAAAAGAATTAGTAGGCATACTGATGAACAAAAACTATTGAGGCAGACTCAGCATGGGTTCTGAAAGGGAAGATCTTGTCTCACTAACCTGTTAGTGTTTTTTGAGGGAGTGAACAAACAGGGTATAAATTGAATGAATGAATATGGACAAGGGGGACCCAATAGATGTTGTTTACCTTGATTTCCAGAAAACATTTGATAAGAGTTCCTCATCAAAGGCTCCTAAGTAAGTTCAATAGTCATGGGATAAAAGGACAAGTCCTCTTGTGGAGCAAAAACTGGCTAATTAATAGAAAACAGAGAGTGAGTATAAATGGGCAATTTTCTCAGTGGAGGGTGGTAAGCAGTGGGGTACCGCAGGGATCAGTACTGGGTCCAATACTTTTTAACTTGATCATTAATGATTTGGAGTTGGGAGTAAGCAGTGAAGTGGCTAAATTTGCGTATGACCTAAAATTGTTCAGGGTAGTGAAAACCAGGGAGGATTGTGAGGCACCCCAAAGGGATCTGTCAAGGATGGGAGAGTGGGCGTCAATGTGGCAAATGGGGTTCAATGTGGCCTAGTGCAAAGTGATGCACATTGGGGCCAAAAATCCTAACTATAAATGCACGTTGATGAGGTCTGAACTGGCAGAGACTGAGCAAGAGAGAGATCTTGGAGTCGTAGTAGATAACACACTGAAAATGTTGAGACAGTGTGCAACTGCAATAAAAAAGGCCAATACTATGCTAGTGATTATTAGGAAGGGAATTGAAAACAAATCAGCCAGTATTATAATGCCCCTGTATAAATCAATGGTGTAACCTCATTTGGAATACCGTGTACAGTTCTGGTCACCACATCTCAAAAAGGATATTATAGCATTGGAAAAAATGCAGAAAAGGGCAACTAGAATGATAAAAGGGTTAGAACACTTTACCTATGAAGAAAGGTTAAAGCGCTTGGGGCTCTTTAGCTTGGAGAAACGATGGCTGAGGGGTGATATGATTGAGGTTTATAGGACTGTGCATGGGATAGAGCAGGTAGAGAAAGAAGTACTTTTCTCCCTTTCTCACAATACAAGAACTCATGGGCACTCCATGAAATTGCTGAGCAGTCACGTTAGAACAGATAAAAGGAAGTACTTCTTTACCCAAAGAGTGATTAACACATGGAATTCATTGCCACAGGAGGTGGTGGCGGCTACAAGCATGGACAGCTTCAAGAGGGACTTAGATAAGCATATGGAGCAGAAGTCCATCAGTGGCTATTAGCCACAAGGTATAGATAGGAACTCTCAGGCTGGGACAAGTGATGCACTGTATTCTTCGTGCTTGGGGGGGGGGGCAACAGTGGGAGGGCTTCTAGTGTCCTGGGCCCTCTGCTGGGCCTTCTGATGGCACCTGGTATTTTTGGCCACTGTGTGACAGACTGTTGGACTAGATGGGCCATTGGCCTGATCCAACATTGGCTTCTCTTATGTTCTCTTATGCTGCTTTAGCTGCAAAATTCTAAACCCACGTTTGTGCAGTTGCAAATGAATGACACTATAGGCTACATATCCATTTTATCTTTTTCCTATCATACAACAAATATAAGCTGCAAAATTCATATATGTACCTGGCATGATTATTTGGTTTGAGGTAAATTTTGTAATATTTGTATGGCCATACTGGAAACCATTAGAGGAGCAACCTGCATTGGAAGTGGAGAAGGCGTTGAGCTCATGAGCTGATAAAATCTCTCTTGAGATAAAAGTGAACTAGGGCAAGGTTTAATGGATGCTCACAATGATGACATTATCCCACAGAGTTCATGAATATTTCAAAAGAGACTGCAGAACAACAATATGGATGCAACTGCCAACCACTATAAATAGCTGGTAGAGGCTAAAGAAAATTGAAAATGAACAAAAAAAGTGCCCTTAGCAGTTTTTCATGACAGCGCAAATTCAAATAGTCTATCAAGTAAATGGAGTTTGTGGACCAAAATGATGCCTGTCCAAGTGGAAGACATGAAATAGATGATACCTTTTATTAGCCTGGCTCTCTTTGGTTAAAAGCAAACAAGAAAACAGTGTAGAATAAGAAGGGTTATTTGTAGATTATGAATTGCCATCCAATGTGGGTCTGACCCGCTTACTTGAGGACACTTGCAATCACTCCATAGAGGATACTACAGTGTGCTTGTGCTGTGGATTGCAGCCTTATACTAAAGTCCTTCTCCCCATCAGGAAGTGGCTGTTACTGACCTCAGGTCTAATGTCCCCTCCCCTCCCCTATCTCCTTCTTGCCTGGCACACCACTGCTGGTGAGCACATCACTGTAGTCAGGTCAAGTGCTTCCTGCTTACAGATGCCACAAGCCTAAAAGAAGCACAGAGAGGAAAACTTCAGAAGCCTTTGAAACATGTGACCGGATTGTGGTCAGATCACTGAAGTCATCAACAGCCTGTATCGTAGGGGAGGAAAAGGTTATACTAGAGTCTTATGGCTGTGAATACATATCCTATTCTCTGGGTCGAGAGGAAACAGAATTATTGCCTCGGATGTAAACCAGTGAATCAAAGCATTAGCATTGCTTTTCTGTCCTAGCACATTACTAGTAAACTCTAAATTATACTGTTCAATAAATTATCCAGTGTTACAGTAGATATTGCTGCAGAGCCTGCAATGGTCCCCCACTGCCTTCCCTGAACTAATTCGACTGCTTACAGTCAGCAAGTGAAGTATTGTAGTTCAAAATCTATATAGGATGGAAAATTGTGTTTAATTTCCCCCAAAAACTAATCTGTTTCCTAAACAATTTTATACACGTCTATTGGATCAGGTTTCCAGGGTAGGCTTCCTCCAAAATCCATTATTCACTTTCTGCCACACATACCTACCTATCTATCCAAAGGTCTATGGTACACATATCCCCTAAAACACTTTATTTACTTTTTAAATCCAGAGCTTTGATGGGCTTCAGTCTATGGCCTGACTTACACAAGAGGTACTCCCTGTTCTACCATCTCAGGAGTCTCTCTACACAACCAGGAGAAGTGGATGGTAGAACAGTGTATACCTCTTCAGACTGCAGATGGGGAGAATAGTTTTTAGTGCTTTCCCATGTCAAATTCCATGCAAACAAACAGTTCACTCATCAGGAAGAAAGGTCATACTTTAGCTCTTTGCATTGCTGTACTTGCTATGTTTTTGCTTCGTTTTCCACAATGCAGAGATCGTGTGAAAAAATGAAATCCTTCACCCACAATCTGAGATGGTATCATCCATTTTACCACCTCAGCCCTCTGACATCTCATTCCTGCCTCATTCTGCTGCAGGTGTATACTGAGCCCAAGTATCTGATTAGGCTGTTGATTCTGAATTGCAACATCAGGCATTGTGGAAGTGTTCACCCATTCATACGACTCAAGCTTTCTGTTGAGTGTGTTTACGAATTCTTTTTTTTAATCTCTAATGTTGGTAGTGAAAGTTAAAGAAACACTAATGATGACTATTCTATCCCAAGAACAATGCATTCAGCTGATGTCAGAACCAAGTCAGCATTTTTCAAAACAGGCAAACTGTGTAACATATCCTGACAGGGCTCTGCAATTTCTAAGGTATAGAAGCCCTCCTCCTGATGCCTTTAATTAAAACTGCAGTTTCCTTATTTCAAGGAGTGCAACTACAGTATTCAATCTATAAACTATAGAATGCTGTCCCTTTCCCATGGCTATCATGATGCTTATAGTGTCAGTACTGTGTGGCTGTTGCCATTCCCCCCACCCCAGAAAGTGAAACCAACTTGAGTAATTACAAAAAAAAAAAGGACCTGCACATCACTTTGTGATACATAACACATTAATTACCTGCCATGTGTTTTCCTAGCGGCAGCATTCACAAAGGCTACTTTGTACTCATGGCTTACAGAAGAAATTCAAGAAACCCACATAAAGAAAAATGTAAACTACAAGAGCCAAGACAGGATAATATTCCAGTGACAGCATTTGGAGAGGATCATTTTTCACAGCCTGCTGTTTTAGAGCACAGCAAAAACAGCACAAATGTTCAGCTTGTCAAAACGGCATCAGACCATGAGGCAGGACCCAGGGCCCCGACGGGCTGCCATCTGGTACATGGGTACATAGATTTCGCCCAGGTTCATTCATCATAATCCTAAAAATTACAATCTTTTAAACAAGACTGGGGGGGGGGTCGCAGGAAACAAACAAGAGTTTTTGGAGCTCTAATATGCTCACTGAAGGCCATTAGGTTGGCAGCAGACTCAAGACATTTACTTCCCTCACAAGTTATCCTCTAGCTCTGTGAGAGAGAGAAAGAGAAAGGATGGACGGATAGCATTTGTTATTTCACTGCACAGTTCAATAGGCTTGTGGCTTTCAACTGAGCACATTTCCTTCTTCTTGGGAGCTTTGTCAGCAGTGTCTAATTATACAAATCATGCAACAAGTTTAAAATGCCAAGGCACAGCTTGCATTGAAACACTCACCATAGACCATGGCGCCTCCCGTTTCGTGCAGAAAGCGGAATCGGTGGTTTTTAAACAGCCAAATGGTTAGTATGGTAAGGATGAGCAAAAAGTTAAAGACCAGCAGCTCCACAGCACCCTGGTGATAATACTGGTCCTCATCTTTCACTGATCCCAGTTTTCTTGACTTCTCCATTTCATCTCTGTTTATGTACACACCTCTGATATCACCCCAGAGAGTTAATTAAAAAAATGCCAAACTAAACATAAGCTCCACAAGTTACACCCTGTGTATCTGCTTTGGTAAAAAAGAATGTCTAGACAGCACAGAAATGCACAACAAACACATCTGCTTTATTTGCAGCCTCCCGGCAAACTGCCACAGCTCAGAATTCTGCTGGATTCTGGTTACAACTTCCTGTTTTCCTCTTAAAGCTGCCCTGTCTCATTTTGTACCTTAAAGTGTGTCTTTAATTCAAGGATGTGTTGATAGTGTTCTCTGATGCAAAGGATATTATGTTTGGAGCTGGTTTTCTTTCGGGGGGAGGAATGAAGCTCATGTGTAAAAAATTGGATTATGCTGAAAGAAAAGGGATAAATTATTGCTTGTGTCTTATAGTTTCAAATAAAAACACTGACAATTCTATATTAAGTTTCAAAGATGTATTAGCATAAGAAATGGTTGCCAACCTCCAGGTAGGGCCTGGAGATCTCCCAGAATTATGATTTATCTCCCGGTGAGAAAGAATTCAGTTCTCAAGGTGAAAATGGCTGCTTTGGGGTGTGAATATGGCATCATTGTGGCATTATCTTGCAGCAGCTCAAATGAGGTTGAGGTGTGCTGTGCTTAATAATCAAAATAAATTCTGAGCATCAGAAGCTTCTTATTTAACACTTTATTTTTAAAAAAATCTACAAACAAGAAATGAAGTGGCTACTCGAAATGCTGGTGGCATAAACATGCTAACCACTACATCACAGATGGCTCTGAGCATGTGCCAAATGCACATAATTTTACCATGTTGTGAGCACAGTACCACATGGCTAGGATTGGAAGCATAGCTACTAAGGCAGCAAGTAGGGCACAAAACCCTGACACTTCTCAGCTTGCACATTAACTTAGGCCTGATCTACACATGCAGCAGATTGAGACAGTAATGAGGTCGAACTACTTCAGATTGCAGTTGAGGGAACGCAGTTGTCAAAGTTCCCTTATATTAATAAATGCCTGAAAGAGGGAACAGCATAGCATGGCAAAGATTTGGCTAGAACCTTTCTTTCTGGTGTGCTACTATTTGCAAGTTGTTTTGCAGAGGACCATTAAAACTGAAATTATTGACCTGCAGTCTGAAGTGGTACAGCCCTACCTCCTGCAGAGTAGGCTGTACTTTCTCCATCATTTCATTTAATGACCACAGGTGGTTGGGGGCTATCCAGTGTTTTGCATGGAGTGTCACATGTATGACTATCTGTCCACTGGACAGAAGTTTTGGGTGTGTGCCCAGTGCAAGGAGCACCTGGTTCTCAGGAAATGAGTTTGCTACCTTGGGGCCAAGGTGGCTGACCTGGAGAAGCAGAGACAGTCGGTTAGGCACATGGAGAAGACTCTCGGCGACTTGTTAGATATGTTCCTGAAAAGTATGCAGACGGAGAGTGATTTCAGCTAAGCATACCTTTATTTAGTTCAGGACAAAGACAACTGACCGGCTCGCAGGCCGGTTTATATACGTTCTGAAAACCCGCCACCAAGCATACCTAAACACACCACCCACTCCCGATAGGCTATTTACAGTAACCGGGTGACCATTGGTCTCCCGGCTGGGAAGCTAGCCCTTTTGATAGGGCCGGCTAGGATCCTCCGGATCCTTTGTCTTTCGACTGAAGCTAACATAGGAATTGTGCCTGGCCAGCCCGGGCAAGTCCGGGCATGTCAGGCTGAATACATTACACCCCTCCCCCCTTGGTTCGCAATGCACCCACAGACGAAGTCCTTCAGGTGCGCTGGTGGCTTCCTGGAGCGAGTCGAGCGACGAGGTTCCGGGGTGGCGATTGGTTCGGTCTCGGGGGCCCTTGGAGTCGAGTGGACCGGGCCCGGCGAGGGGTCTGTTGTTGGAGGAAGGGCTGGTTCCTCGTGGCGAGGGGTCTCGGGTTCCTGCCGGAGTGGTGGCTGTGGGTCTGGTCCCGGAAGTGAGGCCGGTGGCTCCAGCTCCGGGGCCTCGTCCGGATCCTCGGGGTCCAGTTGTAGCGTGCGGCGGCGCAGCTGATCAATGTGCCGGTGGAAGATTTGGCCATCCTCGCTGGAGACCTCGTACGAACGAGGGCCCTTTACCCGAATGACTCGGGCTGGGATCCATTTTTGAAGGCCCCTTTGTGGGTCGCAATGGTCTGTGCCTCGGCCGTGGCGGCGTCCACCGGTAGCTGCTGGTACGCCTGGGCCAAGTCCAGTTTGCCGAACACCCGAGCCCCTGCCAGGGCTGCCAGCACTTGGCTTACTACCGGCACCGGGTACGCGTGGGGCTGCAGGGCTTTGTTTATGGTGCATTTATAGTCCGCGCAGATGCGGACGTCCCCGTTCGGCTTGAGTGGTGTGACAATGGGGGTCTCCCACCGGGCCGACGCCACCGGTTCTAGCACGCCTTGCTCAACTAGGCGATCGAGCTCGGCCTCCACCTTCGGCCTCATGGAGATCGGGGGCAGCCGGGCCCTGATGCGGATGGGGCGTATCGCGGGGTCTAGGTCCAGGGAAATGGCAGGGCCCGTGTACCGCCCCAGGGTCCCATCGAAGATGCGGGGAAATTCTGCGCACACCGCCCCGAAATCCTGCGCTCCAACCTGGTTGATGCCCGTAACGGAGAGCCCCAGGGCCTTGAACCAGGCCAGTCCCAACAAGCTGGAGAGGGGCCGGTCCACAACCAGTAGGTCCAGTTGGCCCTTGAAGCCCTGAAACTGGACCCGGAACTTGCCCCAGCCCACCACCGCCACGGGGTTTTTGTTAAAGTCCCGTAACCGGAAACCCCGTGACTTCTGTAGTGGTGGCCCCCCCCGAGGACACAGTGCACGGAGCGTGTCCGCGGATATTATGGAGTAGGTCGACCCGGTGTCGATCTCCATGGTGCAGGGGGCTCCCTCTATGAGGACCGTCACATGCATTTTATTTGGGCCGTCGGGGGGCAGGTTACAGACCTGGTGCTGTGGAAAGTGGGACGACACGGTGTGGAGCTCCAGGGGCAGTTCCGCGGTGGTCTGGTGGGTGGCCGATCTCGGTCGTTGTCCCTTGGACCGGCAGACCTTGGCGATGTGTCCTGCCTTGTTGCAGGAACGGCAGACCGCATTCCGGAAACGGCACGACCTGCGTTCGTGATCCTCCCCGCAGCTGGCGCACTGACTTGGAGACGGGGCCTTGGAGGTCCTGGAGGATACGTGTTTTGATCGCTGCTGAGTCCGCTGTCGGAGTTGTAGGACTTCCTCTTGGTCCGAGACGTCGGAGCCGCTGCTCACTTGGGTACGGTGGACCGCCTTGGCGCGGCGGTCTTGTCGCGCTTGTTCGTATGCTGAGGCCTCCCGGATGGCCTTGTCCAGGCTCAGATCGTTCTGGCTCACCAGTTTCCTCTGCAGCTTCGGCTCCCGGAGTCCGACGAGGAACTGGTTCAGGAGGGTATCGTCGAGGCTGGGGAAGGAGCATCGGGTCGCCAGGCTCCGCAGCGCCGCCAGAAAATCGGAGGTGGTTTCGCCGGAGGCCTGAACTCTTGCGAAGAAGTCCAACCGCTCCACGTACTTCGTGGGTTTGGGAGCCAGGTGGTCGGTCAGGGCCTGGACTAAGGAGCTGTATGACTCGTCCTTCGTTAGTTTGGGCGAGATTAAGTCCTTGAGGAGCCGATGGGTCTGGATTCCGCAGTGGCTCAGCAGGTAAGCCTTCTTCATCGCGTCGTCCACCACCTTGTGGATGGTGAAGCGGCTCTCCAGCGTGTCCAGCCAGGTGTCCCACAGCGAGGGCTGGGAGAGATCGAAAGCGGGCAGGCTTTCAGTTGCGGTCGCGGTCGCCATTGTGTTGCAGCCACGTGGTGGGGTGGCCTCTGGAACGGCGATGGCGTCGGGAGCGTTGTGGAGGCCGCTGCTGCTCTCGGGGTCAGCAGGGAGCGAAGCGGAGCCGGGAGCTGCGCGATGAGCGGTTGCCGGAGAGCTGGGAAGCGAAGCGGCGCGGTTCCCGGAGGTCTCGGCGTCGGGGCTCGGTGCGGTGCTCGCGTTGGCGTCCGGGTCTTTGTTCATGGGGTCGTGGATCCCACCTTCGTCGCCAGTGAAAAGTATGCAGACGGAGAGTGATTTCAGCTAAGCATACCTTTATTTAGTTCAGGACAAAGACAACTGACCGGCTCGCAGGCCGGTTTATATACGTTCCGAAAACCCGCCACCAAGCATACCTAAACACCCCCCCTACTCCCGATAGGCTATTTACAGTAACCGGGTGACCATTGATCTCCCGGCTGGGAAGCTAGCCCTTTTGATAGGCCCGGCTAGGATCCTCCGGATCCTTTGTCTTTCGACTGAAGCTAACATAGGAATTGTGCCTGGCCAGCCCGGGCAAGTCCGGGCCTGTCAGGCTGAATACATTACAGTTCCACTCTGAATATGGCAGCCCCGCCGCTGACAGGGAGCATGAGGGGTGAGAGGAAACAGAGCATCGTGCTGAGGATAAGGGGAATGTGCCCTCAGAAGGGATTTTAACTACCCATACATTGATTGGGTCAATATGTGTTCAGGTTGTGAAAAAGAGATTGAGTTTCTAGACACTCTCAATTACTGTGTTATGGAGCAGATGGTCACAGAACCTACCAGGGGAGAGGTGATCCTGAATTTGGTCCTAAGTAACACCCAAGACCTGATGAGAGATATAAAATGATTGCACCGCTTGGGAACAGTGACCATAATGTTATTGTTTGGTGTAGTGGTTAAGTGCGCGGACTCTAATCTGGGAGAACCAGGTTTGATTCCCCACTCCTCCACTTGCACCTGCTGGATGACCTTGGGCAAGCCATAGTTCTGGCACAGCTGTTCTTGAAAAAGAGCAGTTTCTGTCAGAGCTCTCTCAGCCCCACCTACCTCACAGGGTGTCTGTTGGGGGGAGGGGAAGAAAAATGAGTTTGTAAGCCGCTCTGAGTCTCCTTTGGGTACTGAAGGGTGGAGTATAAATCCAATCTC